TATTTACAATTTCTTTCCCTCCCTCCCTCTGTCCCTCCTTCCCTTCCTTCCTTTTCTTTCTATGTGTACCACATGTGGGGTTCTGAGGACAACCTGTAGGAGTGTGTTCTCTCCTTCCACCAGTGGGACCCTGGGATTGAACTCAGGTTGTGCCTTTACCCTCTGAACCATCTCACTGGCCCAGGAGAGTTGCTTTTATCTTTCAAAATGGAGTCTAATCATAATATTTGGGTGATCAGATAATATCTCTGAAATAGACCCCTTGTAACCAGTGGGAAGAATTCATCCTGTTCCTTTGATCTGTGACCCTTCATTAAGAAAATGAATTAGGTGACTACTAAATCATCTCCAAAATGATCAGCTGGTGTTCTTACTCGATAAAAACACATTTATGAAGAAGTTATAATATCCTTTATTATATTGGACCGATTAGCTTCCTTTTCTTATGTGAATGCAAATTGATCTCATCTCCGATGCATGACTCATACAGCTTGTGTCTCATGTCCCAGAGAAAGCTCAAGGTGGGGTGGGGGGAGGTGGAAGAAAAGGATTAATTTAGCTGCATCTCTGTTACTGGAAAAACAACTAATAATACATAGTCCCTTGATACTGGGTGCCATCATCTTCCAAAGGGAAGGTTAACTATTTTTTTTATGTTGGATTTGAAGGCTTTAAAGTTTATGCCTTAGGTTGAAGAACACTTTGCAACCATTTATCCAACAGTGTACTTTTAGAATGTTACGAACTTTTTTGGAGACAGGATCTTATTATGTAGCCTAATCTGCCTCAAACTTATGATCCTCCTTGTGGCATGCTCAGCAAATCTTGACAACCTTTAAGAACCATTTAATAGATGTGGAAATTTTGAGTTGTAATTTTTTAATTTGTGAAAACAGGCTCTTGGTATGAGGAGATGATCAATAATCGTAATAAGTCAGTGGTTCGAAGTATGAGTTGGAACTCGGATGGACAGAAGATCTGCATTGTGTATGAAGACGGTGCTGTGATAGTTGGCTCAGTGGACGGTAATCCACTCATTGGACATTGAACTGAGACTAATAATATATAGATGATTATTTTATCTTTGAAGATTTAGATGATATCATGTTAGTATTCTGATAAAAAATAGACGTAAAAGGAGAAAACACCTATTATATACTTTGGTGACATCTAAGAACCACCTTTTAATTGTAGCCATTTGTCTTTAAGTATATTTAAGACAAAACCAATGTATTGTTTCAGTCTACTACAATGGTATTTAAAAAAAGAATTAGTTTCTCAGTATTATTTTAAATATGGCATTTATGTAACTTATCTTCATATTTCTTAGAGTATATAAATACATAGGTTTTAGTTTCAAAATGTATATAAAATTATAAAAAAATCTGTAATTTTAGTTGAACAGAACATGCCGTTGTTGTAGTTTATAGTCTTAAACCTGTATCTTCCAAGTTTTACTGCAGAGATGAGACTGCATCTTCTGAGTTTGCATCCTTGTTTTAATAAGAAACTGTTTCTACAGAAATTATTTTAAAATAATTTTCTTCATTTCTGTGTATATATGGTAGCCAATTAATATTTCTGGGAGCCTGTAAAGCAATAGCTATAGTTTTAGGAATTAACAGTACAACAATGGGAAATATTCCTAGATCAGGATTCTTAATAAGTAAGTAAGCAATCACTGATCAGTGATTAGTGTTGAAACAGGGGAAATACAGAAACATGTTGAAACACCACCGAAGACAAATGTGGAGGGATCGGGAAGGCTTCCTGGAGAAGGTGATGTGTGTGCTGAGACAAAGATGGTAGGTTGATTGATAAGCAGAATACCTCAGAGTTAAGAAATAGTATTGGCAGAGGAGAGAAAAGAGTCCATAAAGAATACCGAAAGTAGAGCTCTTAGAGACAAAGGAGTTCATAGGTGTCATGGAAGTAAAGAGAGTGTTGGGAAGGAAGTGGTCCAAAAAAGAAGAGACTACAATAAAACCACCATTAGTTGGCTTTGGCAACATGCAGTTGTGGCTTCCGTAAAGGCAGTTTCAATGGAGGTGTGGGGTAGAAGGTAGACCAGGATGCGTTAAGGATTGAAGGGAAGGTAAGGTACTGTAATACTGTGTAACTCCAGGAATTTGAGTGGGAAGGAAGTGGAGAAGTAGGGCAGTAGCTAGAGAGGGATTTAGGGTTGAGGGAGGAAAGGAGTTTTGTTTAGTTTTGTCTTATTTGAGGTGGTGGCCTAGAAGTTCTATGCATATTTGAAGGTTTATGAAGCAGGGCCTGGAGAGAAGCATTTAAGGTGAAAGAGAGACATGAGAGTAATCTGTAGGGGGGAGGGATCCTTAGATTATAGGCTAGGTGGAGGGATTAGCCATGGTAAGGCTTCGTTGGGGAGCTACTTCTTCCTTTGTATTGGTAAAGCAGAAAGCATCAGTATTAATTCAGTTATATTCTGAATGTTTGAAGATGTGAATGAATGAATGAAGTTTGGGGAGAACTTTCATTTTCTTCCCAAAGTAGAAAATGTGCTCTCCTGATAATTGTAAGTGAGAGCCTGCCTTGGAGTTTAGAAGGGGAGAAAGTTTGAAACAGCTGCTATTTAAAAGGTCTCATAGGGCACTTAGCTTATATAAATGCTCAATAAATATTTATTGACCAAGTAAATCTAATGACAGAATGAATACTATGAGGGAAGTGAGAACTCTTTAGGGAAATCAAGAGTTTGAAAGCAGTTGTTGGAGGATCATGGCTCTGTGCTTATGATAATTATGGCCCTGTTTTGCTTTAGGGAATCGTATTTGGGGGAAAGACTTGAAGGGTATACAGCTATGCCATGTAACCTGGTCTGCAGATAGTAAAGTCTTACTTTTTGGAATGGCAAATGGGGAAATACACATTTATGATAATCAAGGAAATTTTATAGTAAGTATGTATATATTCATTATTCTATTAGTATAATTTCAGATGAGTATTTTGTATATCATTCACATATATATCTTTATTATGATAGTTATGATAGCTTATATAATTAGTCTTCAATTCAGTTTTTTGTTTTCTAATCATCTAAGCATTTTAAAATTTATTTTTCTGTGTTTGACTGTTTTGTGTGCATGTGTGTTAAGTACACCCATGTGTGCAATGCCTATGGAAGACAGAAGAGGGCATCAGATCCTCTGGAACTGGAGTTTTGGATGGATGGGTGTTAAGTACCATGTAGGTCCTGAGAACTGAACCCAGGTCCTCTGCAAGAGCAGCCAGTGCTTTTAACTGCTGAACCATCTCTCCAACCCCTAAACATTAAAAAAATTTCTTTTTGAGTTTCAGGATTTTGTTGTTTTGAGAGAGGTGTTATATAGCCCAAGCTGGGACTTGCTGCATAGCTGAGGATGATCTGGAACTCTGAATCTTTCTGCCTCCACCTCCTGAGTCCTAGGGTTACAGCCACACTCAGTTTTTTGCAATGCTGTGAATCAAACCCAGGGATTCTTGAATGTTAAGCAAGCTCTCTACCAACTAAACAGTATCCCAAGCCCAAGTTTAGTTCCATTAAGGCAAATTAATGTCACAGAATGCATCTTTTAGTCATGATTTCTTATTGTTCTTATATGACCACGCATGGAAGCAGAGGGATTCAGTAGAATGATAGGCAGTGTAAGTTTTGAAAGTGTATCCTGGTGCCAGAAGCCAAAGATCACATGCAGACAAGTAGCAACTAGAGGATGTTTGTGAAAAGAATGGTAGGGAGAAAATTCAATTTCTAGAAAGAAAGTAAAAGAAAGAAGTGATTGTCAACCTGACAGGCTCTAGATTCACCTAGGAAACAACTTCTGTGAGGGATTATCTAGTTTCAGTTTAGCCTCTGAGAATGTCTCTGAGGGATTACCTTGTGTTAATTGATGTGGGAAGAACTGTGGTCAGGGCCTTTCCCTGGGCAGGGATCCTGGTCTGTATGAAATGGAAAAAGCAAGCCCAGCCCCAGCATTCCTCCTTCTCTGCTTCCTGATTATGGATGTGATGTGGCCAGCTGCTTCAAACTCCTGTTGCCTTGACTCCCCACCGTGATGGACTGTACCTTTGAGCTGTGAGCAGGAATAAGCTCTTCTCCCTTGAGTTGCTTTTGTCAGAGTATTTATATTGAAGCAACTGGAAAAGAAACCAAGACAGTAATCTTAGGAGGCATAATCTGGAGAAAATTCTGGCTTTGAAACAATTAGCTATGATAGTAGCAAGAGTCACATTTCATAATCCACTCATTGGTAGAAGTAAATTGCTAAATTTTCATTTATCTGTTTTGGAGACATGATCTCACTACACAGTCCAGGCTGTCTTTGAATTTATCTTGTTGCCTCTGCCTACTGAGTATTGGGCCTGTTGTCATTTGAATCTCATTAAAAACTCTGAGCATGGGCTGAAGAAATGGCCCAGTGGTTAAGAGCACTGGCTGCTCTTGCAGAGGACCTGGGTTCAATTCCCAGCACCCCCATGGCAGCCAACAACCATCTGTAACTCCAGTCCCAGGGGAATCTGATGCCCTCTTCTGACCTCTGGGGGCATTGCATGACACAGGTGCACTTACTGTACATACAGGCAAAACACTCATATACTGAAAATTAAAAAACTCTGAGTGTGAGTGTAGCTTTACTTTACCTTTTGAGATTAGGTTTCTATGCTATTGAACTTTTCACTTACCATTAACCTTGTGCTTACTGTGTAGCTCAGGCTAGCCCTAAACTCGAGATATTCCTGATTCTGCCTCTGAAGTGCTGAAATAACAGGCATGTACCACTACACATAGCACTATGTGTTTTTAATTCTTTTTTTTTCTTTTACTCATGAGGAAAATGGAGAGTTAGGTAGTGATGAAGCTTGCATTTGCAATCAGATTTTAAATCTTATTTTTACTGTTCTTCCTACAATACCTATTCAGATTGCTCTATTTTAAAATGTGATTATTAAACCTAATCTAACCAATTCTTCCTAGATGAAAATGAAACTGAACTGTTTGGTGAATGTCACTGGAGCAATCAGCATTGCTGGGATTCACTGGTACCACGGCACAGAAGGCTATGCAGAGCCTGATTGCCCATGCCTTGCAATTTGTTTTGACAATGGGCGATGCCAAATAATGAGACATGAAAATGACCAAAGTAAGCAGTCCTTCTGTTTTATTGAGTTGGAAAGGTTTAAAAGTATCTAAAAATTGTTCTTAAGACAATACAGTGCTCTAGGCTCGGGTATTAACACAGTTGCCACAATTTGTTTGCTTTGACTAGACCCCGTGTTGATTGATACTGGCATGAATGTGGTTGGTATCCAGTGGAACCACATTGGAAGCGTGCTAGCTGTGGCAGGCTCCCAGAAAGTACTCACTCAGGATAAGGATATCAACATTGTGCAGTTTTACACTCCATTTGGTGAGGTAAACATATTAAAGCCTTCCCTTCTTTCCATTATAGGTAGGTGCAGAGTAAGTAGGGGAAAAAACAGGGAAGAAGTCTAAGCCTGTTACATTTTCCTTTAGGGGCATTTTGAATAACAATCTTGAGATACCAAGTGTATGTCTGAATACTGTCTTTTAAGTTTTTATTATATATATGTATATATGTATATATATTTAATTTATTATTTTATGTGTATGAGTGTATTGACTGCATGTATGTATATAGGTGCACCTGTGTTGTACAGTGCCCACAGAGGTCAGAAGAGGGCATCAGATCCCCTGGAACTGGAATTACAGATGGTTGTTAGTGCCATGTGGGTGCTGGGAATCGAATCCAGGTCCTCTGCAAGAGCAGTCAGCACTCTTAGCTGCGGAGCCATCTCTCCAATCCCTTAAATTTTTATTATATTCTACCATATAGTTTGTTTTATAATCTGTACATTTAGAACTCTAGAAGCTTGGCACAAGAATCACTATGGATAGCTATTTAGTGTATTTTTCTCTGTGATTCAAATAAATGTTTTTTATTACCACTGGCTTTTGATTGGCCTTTAATGTAATGTACTTATTCAGGTTCATTTTTCTGGTTTTGAATGTGATACTGTAAATGTCCTTGGATATGAAACATATATCTGTCTGCCATTCTTCTAAACTTTTGATAGTTTTAATTTATTCCAAAGCAACCAATTATAGTTTATCACCTGTGTCATGCAATGCTGCGGAGGTCAGAAGAGGGCTTCGGATTCCTCTGGAACTGGAGTTAAGGACGGTTCATAGCTGCCATGTGGGTGCTGGGAATTGAACCCGGTTCCTCTGCAAGAGTAGTCAGTGCTCTTAACTGCTGAGCCGTCTTTCCAGCCCCTATAGTTTATTATTAATCTTTGTAAGACAGGGTCTGACTATGTATCCCTGGCTGGCCTAAACTTATTATGTAGTCCAGCTGGCCTCGAACTCACGAGAGATCTGCCTGCCTTTGTCTACTGAGTGCTAGGACTAGAGGTGTATACCTCCTCTCCTGGCAGGATCGATTATTTTAAGAAAACTTGTCTTGATGAATTGTATCTGATAGATACTATATTAAAATGTAAGCATTGTTTTCAGAAGCACATATATTATCTTTCTCAGAGGTACTAAGAAATTTAGTTCTTAGAATTTTCTGATTGCATTGATATGTTCAAGTAGAGTACTGGCATATTATGAATTTTTAAAAATTTAGAAAGTGTAACTCTGCTTACAACATTTTGCATTACCTTATTTTCTAATCCCTTATATTTTTTTCCCTTTGAATATCCTATTTTTAAAAATTTATTATTGTTATTTTTAATGTGTTTTGAATGTTTTACTTGCATGTATGTAAATGCACCATGTGCATACAGTGCCCTACAGGGGCCACAAGAGAGTATCAGATCCCCTGGAACTAGAATTACGGTTGTTACCTGCCATGTTGGTGCTGGGGGTTTCAAACCCTGGTCCTCTGTAAGAGCAGCCAGTGCTCTTAACTGATGAGCCATCTCTCCAGTCCCAGGATATCCTGTTTTTTTTTTTTTCAAGTTCACCATAGACTGAGGTTAAATACATTTTTCATTGAACACAAGCCTATACCAGTTGTTTTAATTTTTTTGGGGGGGGGTCTTTTTGAGACAGGGTCTTCCTGTAGTCCCAGCTGTCCTGGAACTCACTATGTAGATCAGGCTGGCCTTGAACTCACAGAGATCCACCTGCCTCTGCCTCCTGAGTGCTGGGATTAAAGGCATGCGTCACTATGCCCGGCTTGTTTTAATATTAATGGTTTGGTATATTTTGATAATTTCTGTAAGAATGAGACTGGAACCATCTAATATTTCAAATCAGTTTCTCAGTTACTCAGTAAAGTGTGCTACACAAAGGTGCTCTTCCCACCTTGTCAGCAAATGATATTTCTGCTAAATGTAAAAGTTAAGGAAAAACAAGGTAGTTATTGTACCACATTTTATTTTGATGAAGTGTTTGGTGGTAATTTGATCATTATGATACTTCAAATTTTATATTTTTCCAGCATCTAGGTACTTTAAAAGTTCCTGGAAAGCAGATGTGTTCACTGTCTTGGGAAGGAGGTGGACTGAAAATTGCGCTAGCTGTTGACTCCTTTATATATTTTGCAAATATTCGACCTGATTATAAGGTATTAGAGCAGTTTTAAAAGAGTGTTTTATTTTTTAAATTTGCACTGAACTTTTTATAACTTTTTATAAAAGAAACTAATTGGAAGGGGGCTTTTAAAATTTTTATTTATTTTTATTTTATGCATATGAGTGTTATGCCTGCATGTGTGTAAGTATACCCATGTCATGCAGTACCAGCAGAGTACAGAAGAGATCCCTTGGAACTAGAGTTACAGATGGTTGTTAGCTACCATATGGGTACTGGGAATTGAACCCAGGTCTTCTGGAAGAACAGCCAGTGCTCTTAACTGCTGAGCCATCTCTCCAGCTCTGGAAGGGGGCTTTTTTTTTTTTTTGTGCATGAAGATCTTAAAACTAGTGAAATAGCAAACTTAATACCATATAAGTAAAGTGCCTCTCAGAGTCAGGATCTCAGGGGAAACAGATGCCCATTTACAGGAGTGTTTGAAAGGCTTCTTACAGAGGTAGCAAGGGGTTGAACGCAATAGTAAATGAGGTAAAGCAGGCAGCAGGGCTTAGCAAACATTAGATGTCATCACCAGCCCTGGGATCAAAGAGCAAGGTAAGGTAATAGTGTTTCTGGAAACCATGAGAGTTATGGTGTGCCATAGCCACTGCTGACTGCCAGGCAGGGATTTGAATAAGCATTCCATCTCTTCCCTCTCTTGATGCCTTTTTGTTTTTTAAGCCAGGTCATTGTTACAGATCTGACCTGGCCTTTTATCTTTAGTTTTAATTTTTTCTATGTGTATGAATGTTTTGCCTGCAAGTATGTGCACTATGTGTGTGCCTGGTACCCATGGAAGCCAGAGGAGGGCATTAGACCTCCTGAAACTGAAGTAACAGAAAGTTGAAAGCTGCCATGTACATGCTGTGAACTGAACCTGGGTCCTCTGTAATAGCAGTGAGTGCTCATAACCACTGAGCCATCTCTCATTATAATGGCCAAAATCAACAGGTGCCAAACAGCAAAGTAACCCATAGAATGGAACTCACAACAGTAATCCTCCAGGTTCAGAGCAGAGTGGAGAAGGGCAGAAATGGATCAGGAGAGGAAAGTGAGAATAAATCACACAGTATTTTATGTTAAACACATTATCCACATGACATCACATTATCTTATCTTAGCTTCACATTCTATACAAAACAAACTCTGAAACTGGAGACTGATTTGATAATCTGTTTTGAAAAATCTTGTGCAAACTAGGCATAGTAGACCGTGGCTCTTACACCATCTCTCAGGAGATGGAGGCAGTGTGAGGACAACTTCAGTTACATAGTGAGACCCTCTCTCAGAAAACCAAGGGCAGGAAGTGCAGTTTAGTAGAGCACATGCACAAGGCCCTGGGTTTGATCCATAGCAAGCAAAAGACAAAACAAAAACAAAAACCTAATCCATAGAGAAATGGCTAATTTCTCTAATTTCGAGAGCCAGGACAGGGAAAATGTCCAGTAAACATGGAGCATCTCGTTATGGTAGACAATGAGGAAGTGCTCCCTGCAAAAGGATGAGGACATGTTGGAGGGACATGGAAGACAACCCAGGATAGCTTACAGTGGCCAAAGCTGGAATAATTTGAGGAACAAAGGATATAGCATTCTATTATAGCTTAATTATGAGTCTAGGAGTCAATATGAATATATATACATTATTTAAGTAAAATAAATCAGAGAGAAGAAGCAGATTTTTCTTACAGTCGTATTCCAAATTACATACTGCACTCTTTAGGAGGTGGAGTGGTCTCTCATCCTTGTAGCTTAGAGAGGGATAAAGGAGGGAGCTTTTCAGGGGAGAATCCTGGCAGCTACTCTGGCCAAGTGATCTGAGTTAACACCATTGTGATGTCATGCGGAGATCATACCCTTAATATGACATGATGAGAAGGCATTTCACTTTAGTGATGGTCTTCCTAAAAACTAGTAACCCTATATAAGCATGAGAAAAACACTAGAGAGACCCAAACTGAGGGGCACTCCTCAAAATACTTGATTATACTCTTTTTCCCCTGCCAAGATCTTCAATAACAGGGAGACTGAGAAACCATCATAGCCCAAAGGATCCCAAGGAGACATGACAGCAGAATAAAAAAAAAAAGATTTATTTATTTTATTAATGCATGTAAGTGTGTGTCTGTGTGAGTTTATGTGCATCACATGCATGCAGGAGCCCATGGAAGCTAGAAGAGGGCATCAAATTCCCTGGAACTGGAGTTACAGATGTTTGTGAGCTACCATATAGGTGCTGGGAACTGAACCTAGGTCCTCTGTAAGAGCAGTAAGTGCTTTTAATTTCTGAGTCATCTCTCTAGCCCCTATAAAACCATATTATAAAAATCATGGATGGGAGAAAAAAAAGCAGAGTGCCTATTTTTGAATTTTGGCTTAGGGATTCAGAATTCAAACTTCTGACTGATCACTCTCTGTACGCCACTCCCACCCTCAGTAGGGATTAACTATTGAAAATTTTCAGTACTGAAACTTAAAGTTTACAAATAAAGTCAGACAAACTAAATTTATTTTCATAGCACATTCTTTTTTTTTAAAAAAAATATCTTTATTATTGTGACTTTTAGACTTTTTTGTTAGTGGGGAAAGCTAATCTATTAGTCTTCCATTTTGAAGGATATCTTTGTCAGCCCTGATAAACCACCTATTTCAATATTTCTAGAGTAAGAATAAAATGTGGGTTTTCTTTCCCAAACTAAATATTCTGTCCTTCTTTTATCTTTCTTCCCTACTTTTACTTGTTTTTCTTTCTCTCTTCCTAGTGGGGCTATTGCTCAAACACTGTGGTTTATGCATATACCAGACCCAATCGTCCTGAGTACTGTGTTGTCTTTTGGGATACCAAAAACAACGAGAAGTACATTAAATATGTGAAGAGTCTCATTTCTATCACCACGTGTGGTGATTTCTGTATTTTGGCCACAAAAGCTGATGAAAGCCACCCTCAGGTAGGTAATGGTTGGTATCTCAAAGATGAGTTGACAGTGGGCAGAGCTGGATCTCAGCTACCTGTCTTCTCCAGCATGGACTGGACAATGGCATACAGAATACTGGCTCTATTGGTTGTCATCTGTCCAAACCTGTTTTGGAAAATGGAAAACTGACTCTGTGGTTCTTATATGCCCTGATTCTTCTTTTCCTTACCAACCAGCCATTTTGGCAGTTCATGGTAACTGGTTCCTTACCGAAGTTTTTGTCTCTGAAATATATTTAAACTACCACAACCCTTCTTTGCCAAGTCAAAATTTCACCAGCACATACACACACAAAATCCAGATGTTTAGCAGAAAACTGAAGAAATTAAAACAGCTGGGGTAGCTTTTGACATTGATAAATCTGTTTTCACTTGGAGATATATTGCTTTAAAAATTTATGCTTGAAATAAAGCATAAAATAGCTTTAGCATGAAATAAAGAATATAAATAATGTGCTTTTTTTTTTTTTAAAAAAAGACTGCTAACAATTTGCAAAAAAAAAAATAGTATTTCAAAGTAAGACTACCAATGTCTTTGACTGGGTTATAGTTTCAAAGTACAGAGATTTTGTTAAAGGTGATTATAAGAACAGCCCCATTTGGTTTTGTTCTCTTCTGTAGCATTAAAACAACAGTAAAACATTAAAAAAAAGTGACAGGCCCATAGGGGCAGGAAAGGAGGGGTAGAGGCAACAAAGTCTTGGAGGTTGGAGAGAAGCAATTATCTTAGGAGACTTAAATACACCACTCATGGAGCATGTCTGGGGCAACTGGTTACAGAGTGCTGAAGAAGCGCTGGACTTAGGGGTTCCCGGTTGGGGAAGGAAACAGACACACAGGCAATTTGGCAGTATCATTGATGACGCAGGAAAGCGAAAACTCTCAAAAACAACAAAAAAGATTTAGAAAGAAGCAAATTCCCAGGTCTCCTCTTGACAGAGCCTATAGACAATGGCTTTATTGCCATCTCTGAAGACTGGGGTTTGGTCTCCAAATAAGATCAAAATGAAAATGAGTCTCTCTGCATAGCTGACAGGAGACAGACTCTGCTGAAAATCACAGCTGTCACTGCTTACCTCTAACGCTGTCCTGCTGGTCCTGTCATCTTCTCCCAATTGCTTCCCAGAGAACTGGCCACTGAGCTTCCAGCTTTGAGGTAGCAGGTTGAGACCGTCTTCCCTGGACAATCTCATGAGCTCAGAACACAATGAATACACACTAACAGTCTCCAAGAAAGAGACCTGCCTTAGCACCTCACAGTGAGGCCATGGTCAGTGAGGCTCATTCAGGGATAAGTAGATTCCAAAGAGTATCCCACTCCTAAGTATATCATATAGAAAAGAGTCTCAGACATTTGGGAGAAGCAGCCAATTTAGCAAACAGACACCAAATCTAAACACAAATAGGAAAGAACTTGGAGGAAGCAGAGACAAGGCAGGAAGAACAATTCAAAAAGCACTGCTGTCTCAACAGTCCTTGGCATCCTCAGACAGTTAAGAGATTTCCATCCATGACATGAGAGATACTATAGAAAAGGAACATTTGGGAAATTAGAGATATGACAAACACATTGAAAAATCTGGTGAAAGGGCTACAGTGAAGGAAATACCTATAAAGCAGTGAAAGACAAGGAAATGGAAAATAAGAAAATCAGAGGACTAGCCCTGGAAGTTTAGCCTTTGAACAGTGGCACCAATAAGAGTGAACAGGTCAAAACTGAGGACGGGCTGGGGAGATGGCCCAGTGGTAAAGTGCTTGCTGTGCAAGTATGGACTCCAGGTTGGATCCCTAGCATCCATCTAAAAGCCAAGTGGACATGGTAGCCCATCTATAATCCCAGCACCGGGGAGGCTGAGACAGGAGATCCTTGGGGTAAGATGGCTGGCTAGACTAGCCGAATCAGCCAGCCTAGGTTTCAGCAAGAGATTCCACTTTAGTAAAAAAAGTGGAGAGTGATTGAGGAAGTCAGCTTCTGCTCCCCTCACATGTGCACACGTGCACCCCCACACATGTGACCACACATACACACATATGCAGATATCAAGTGGAGGAGTGTAAGTTTAAAAAAAAAAGCAAATTTCTTTGAGGGTCTAGATTGGAAGTCACTAGTTCAGTGAATAAAAATGCTTTCAAGTTAAGGAATATTTTTATAAAATTTCTTAACACAACACAGGGATTAAACAAAACAAGACAAAACAAACCCCTAACAGGCTTTTTAGAGAGGAAAAGCAGATTCCTCAAGATGAGAAGTCATAATGGAGAACTGCCTTCAGAACTCGGAGGGAAAATGATTTCCTGTCTAGAATTTCAGATCTTAAGGAAACTACTAATTAAATGTGAGAGTAGAGAGTTATTTCAGCCAAAGTCTACGAAGATCAGGAATCAATCAAGAAAGAGGAAACAAACCAGAAACACCAGCCCCCATGGTGAAGAGTAAGCCAGCTGACTTGGGCGGCATGCCCAGAGACTCCAGTGAGGACAGAAGGCTCCAAAAGATAGTCAAGAGGATGCAATCACCGCAGTACCTCATGTTTGATCCCTTGAGAGGAGATATGCTAACTGGAGGATAGTTGGAGAAAAAAGAAAAACATGTATCACAAGGAAAGCAAAATATGACTGAAAAGAAAATAATACCGTGGGTGACTCAGTTGTGAGTAGCTCTTATTGTGGTCAAAATGATTTGACATTTTAAAAGCTCTTAACTGAAATACAACAAATATTCAACCTTAAATTCTGATCTGAAAAAATTAGGTTAAAAGTGGAAAGATGGCAGGATGGAAGTGTGGCAGAGGAATGGGGAAGTGGATGGAAAAAGCTAAGTGCTTATTAATAGTTCACATTGGGAAAGCAACAGAAGGCGCACTAGATTGAAATACAACAAAGCAAGAAGAAACACTGTAAACATGTTACCTAGAAGCCAGTGATTGCCCTGAGTTCAAGTCCAGCCTGCGTTACAGTGTGAAAAACAAAATAAAATGCCCTCCAAATCACCAATCCAACCAACAAATTAGATTTGTCACACAGATAATGGATGAATTAAAGGGAGTAGAAGTGGGAAGATTGCCAGAACTCATGGGATTATTTGAAACTTATAAATGTATAATTGCTGGAAGTGAAAGTTAAGTTAGAACCACAATTGTTTGTGTTAATTAAAGGCAATAAGTAAGCTCATTTTAAGCAGTAGATGGGTAAAATATTTTAATCTCTTTACTGTAATACAGTTTATATTTATGAAATTAAATTTTAATTTAGATACCAAAAAGAAAAATGTATGTAAATAAAACACAAATTGGTTTATTTGAAATTATTGAGCTGGTTAGGAAAACATCTAAGTAGAACAGTATTGTTAGTAGGAGATAGAGTAACAGTTAAAAAATGAAATTATTTGGTTAGAATAATATGATGTAAAATGTACTTAATACTTTTCCTAATATCAGTCATTGATGATTGTTTGTATGCAGCAATTTTTCCTGAATTAACTGCATTTTTCTGAATTTCTACATTTTTCATATACTGCTTCAAAGGAGGAGAATGAAATGGAGACATTTGGTGCAATGGTAACAAATTCCATTAGCTCTTGCATAGCTGGATACAGGGTGCCATGATGTTGTAGAGATCAGAAGTTTAGAAGTCTAATGGTGGAAAGCAGCCTGTGCGCTTGTTTCTGAAGTGTTTTCCTAGAGATGGTAGTGCAGAGTTCCGTTATACTGAGAAATGGTCTTGTTTAGTTTTAATTCATGTTTTTAATAGTTAATGCTGTTAATGAGCTTCCTTTGTCTGCTATTCTTTGTACCTAATAAATTTTATCAGTTATTTCTGAGTTAGTGATACTTGAAAAGATAAGCATGCTACACAAGCGTATTTCTTTTGTTATTTATAATGAAGTACTCTGATAGTTTTGCAAGAATTCTGATATTCTTTTTCTTTTATTTGTTTACAGTTTGTGCTAGTTCTTTGCAATTCTATTGGCACACCCTTGGATCCCAAATACATTGATCTTGGTAAGGAAATGCTAATCTTTGTTTCCTGTCCAATCAGATTTTGTTTGTAACACTATTCAAAAACCTAAGGGGTTGGAGATATGGCTCATTGGATAGGAATGCTTGCTGTGAAAGCAAGAGGACTTGAGTTTGAACCCTGGCACTCATATAAAATTTGGGCATGACCACACATGCCTGTAATTCTAGCATTGTGGAATGGAGCTGTATGGATCCCAGGAACTCACTGGCCAGCTGGCCTAGAGAGTTTCAGGTTCCCTTATCTCTCAGTGGTAACTCACTAAGAAATAAGGTGGAGAGTCAGAGAGGGATATACCCAGAGTTCTCCTTTGGCCTCTGCATGTGCATACATGAATGTGCTTATACGTCACATACCTCCTAACTCCTAATAATGTTATTAATTAGAATGATTCTCTAAAATAAGGATGGCCATACATCCTGGCTGTCAGATCTAGTTCCAGTTGATACCTAGTCTCATAGCAGATTTATTAATGCCCCCTTTCACTCTGAAAAGTATCCTGGTTACTACAATACATTGAAAGGTGATTGTATCTAAAATCCATAATAATTCCACAATTGCCATCATTTGTCTACATGGGAAATATAATTGCACTGGAATTGGTATGCAATGGAATGATTAGTATGCAATAAACAGGGTTAGAGAAAGAATTTTGCTCTTAAAGCACTTTTATTATTAATAAACTGCTTGTAAATACTTTTCTTCCATAAAAACACTTTAGCTCCTTGTAAAATAAGCTTGCTCTTTCCAGAATTTTCTAATGAAAATTGTCTACTAATAGAGACAGCCTTAAAAAATTCCTCATTTCCTGTTTTTAGAGGGCATTTATTTAGTTTACTCTTTCCTCCAACAGGTAGGAAAGTAACCTTTTAAAAAGTTCCAAGTCTTATTCTAAGAAATTTATTTAAAATCATTAACAAATATTTTGTTGCCATACAAACTTACAAAAGTAATGGTTTTCTTGTAAAAGTACTGTCATATATTAGAAATGATGTGACAGAAATAAGTCAGTCTAAAAATTTGAAAATCCATTGAGTGATTTTTCTGCCCATGAGAATTAGCCATTTATTTTAGATTAGACACTCAGTCTTAACACTCGTGTAATGTTTCTTTCTAAATGTGTTTTGCTGAGGCCTTTGGATAGAACAAGCAGATGTGAGAGATGTGTATTGGCCTCCAAGCCTATACTGCATGTTTAGGGGTCTGGTAACTCACTCACTTTGATAAACTGAAACATTTTAACTTCCTGTCTAATGCTCATTGTTAGATAGATATATTTATATACTTATATACATATTTATACATATACATGTTAAATTCCTTGTTATTGGAAGTAAAAGGATTGGCTTATAACTATTACAGACTTGTTATGTGGGTATTTTTTATTATTAATAGAAGTATTACATTCTTTTAAAAAATTATTTTTTATTCTATGTGTATGAGTGTTTTGCCTGCATGTATGTAAACACATCCATGCATGTAATGACCACAGAGGCCAAAAGAGGGCATTGAATCCCTTGGAACTGAAGTTACAGACTGTTGTTAGCCACCATGTGGGTGCTGGGAATCTAACCTGGGTCCTCTGGAAGAGCAGTGCTCTTAACTGCTGAGCTGTCTCTTCAGCCATCCATTCTTATTTGTGTGTCTGTGGGGGGGGGTGTCAGCGACAACTTGTAGGAGTCACTTTTCTCCTTATACCATGTGGGCCTCAGGTATTAAACTCTGGTTGTTAGGCTTAGCAGCAAGAGCCCTTACCTACTGAGCTATCTCCCTAGCCCAAAGTACTAATTTCCTTAAGGTATAAATTCTGCCAATCTTCAGATTGTAATTTTTTCTTTTAATAGCAAGAATTTTAACATAGAATCATTTGTTATATCATATAGGGTTAGCCTCAAAGTGATTTTTATCCCAGGTGGACTATTTTTAAAATAAAACTAAATGCAAATCTTTCCTCTTCATAAAATGGAAAATACTTGAGGGCATGATTATTTGTATTTTTAAAATTTTTATTTTATTTTATGTGTATGAGTATATTGCCTGCATGCATGTAAATGTACTTGTGTTGTGCAATGCCCATGGAGGTCAGAAGAGGGCATCAGATCCCCTGGAACTGGAGTTATAGATGGTTGTTAGCTGCCATGTGGGTGCTAGGAATCGAACTTGGGTCCTATGCCAGAGCAGCCAGTGCTTTTAACTACCGAGTCAGCTCTCTGCCCCAATTATTTGTATTTTTGAGTCTCAAAACATTTTTTTGCAGTCTCGCTTAATAGAAATTTTAACAAGAACTCTTTCACTGGCCTGCGGCAGAGGCAAAGACTCAACATTTTTGCTTCATACATATCCTGTAAGATTTCTTAAAAAAGTTTTATGCCAAATTTTCAGGAAGGTGAAAGACTAATACAAACAATAAAAATGTGTGTATGACAGATACTCTTCTAGAATGTATTATTTTTGTCTTGCAATCTATTTTCTTGAAAGTCTCTGTAGAAACTTTTAAAAAGACCTTTACACATTGCTGTAGAATGTGACTTGTGGGGCTCTGTTGTCCTGGACATGAGGATGGGGCACCCTCTGTTCGTGTTATGTGACACACTCAAGCCCTTTGGCGTGCTTCTTTCAAAGTACTTTTCACCCTGCACTGTTTGTTGCTTTGTCTGCCTTTTCGAATTTCTTAAAGATCTGTGTCTAGTTAATTACTGTATCCCCAGTACCGAAAAGTGTGCTTGGCTCATAATAAATATTTCTTGAATGCACAGACAGTATTTATTTCCTATTATGTGAATTATTTCTTTGTTAGCAAACCACCAAATATATACTGTTGCAGTCCCTGGGAAAAATAATTAAAGAAATCATGGTATTTTTTTTATAGGATGTCTAAGTAAATAAGATATAGTTGATTCATTGAGCAATGACTTACCGCTCTTGTGCTGTGTGCCAGGTTCTGTGCTTGTTGATGGGATAAATGGATGTTGGTACATAACGATGGTCAATCACGTTTTTTCTACTTAGAGAATTGTGCGTGGGGCTGTTTTGAGGGATAAATATTTCTTCAGGTGGTACTTTAAGGTGAAGATAGCATCCTGCCTGTGCAGAAGTCATTTTTTGTAGAAGCATGCAGGCAGGTTTCTAATGCTGCTTTCTAGCACATTCACTAAATTTTCCATAGTTTTCAGAGAAAGTTAATTTGAGAAAAATGTTTTAGTGCAATTTCAGTTTACCAGCTCTTTAAAGGCCAAGGAATGAGTAAGTAGGAAAGTGGGGGAGCATTACAGATGCAGGCACTTATTTTAGACCTCAGTATTAAATATTACAAGCAGGTTTTTCTTATTTGTGAATTCCTAAATTGTTTTAAATTATTTTACATCCTGGCTTGGCTCATAACAAGTACAGTGGATGGAAGCGTAATTATTTTCTTAGAATTTTTTCCCAATCTTACTAGATATTTTGAAAGGTTTTTTTTCATGGGTATGTGTGTTGTATGTATGCATGTTCACATTTGTGTGGGTGCACATGTATGTGAGTGCACATATATGTATGTGCACGTGGAGGCCTGAAGTTGAAGTTGAGAGTCTTCCTTGATTGCTCTCTACTTTTATTTATTGAGGCAGAACTTGTCATTTGCAAATTCCAGTTAGTCCAGCCAGCCAGGTTGCCCTAGGGATCCAGTCTTGTTTCTGCCACTTCTGAATGCTGGGGTTCCAGGTGGCCCCCACGCCTGCCAGCTTTTTAAAATATGTGTTCTGGGGATACAAACTCAGGTCCTCAAGCTTATGTAGCAAGCAAGTACTTGACTCACTGAGCCATCTCTTTACCCTGATATTTTGATTTTTTTTCCTTTCTTGAAAGAGGCATCAGGTGTTTTTATCTGGGTGGGTTTTTTTTTCCCCTAAAATTTCTCAAAGATTGATCTTAATTTTCCTTTTTTCCCCTTCCTTCCTTCCTTCCTTCCTTCCTTCCTTCCCTCCTTCCTTCCTTCCTTTCTTTTTTGTGGGACAGGGTCTCCCTGTAACCCCAGCTAGCCTGAAACTGGTGTGTAGATCAGGCTGGCCTTGATCTCACAGGGATCACCTGCTTCTGCCTCCTCAGTGCTGGGACTAAAAGCATGCACCACTATACCTGGCTATTTTCTTTTTTTAATATAATAGTTTTATTAATTCTCTAAGAATTTCAGGGGCTGGAGAGATGGCTCAGTGGTTAAGAGCACTGACTGTTCTTGCAGAAGACCTGGGTTCAATTCTCAGTGCTCACATGGCAGCTAACAACCATCTGTCACTCTGGTTCCAGGGAAATCTGACACCATTTTCTGACACCCATGGGCAGTGCATGTAATGGATGCACTCACATGCAGGCAATACACTCATATAGTTAAAATAGAAGTAATAAATTAAATATTAAAAAAAAGAATTTCGCACAACCTATTTTGATTGTACTCACTCCTTACCGTCTCCCACCCCCTTCCAACTTCGTGTCCTTTTTGAAAAAAGTAACTCTCTGGATTCAATTTGTGCTTCCCGTATACCCATGAGTGTTGGGCCACTCACTGGAGGGTGATTGACCCACCACTGTTAAAGAAAATGGATTCTCCCTCTCCCAGAAGCCATCAACTGTTCATAGCTCTTGAGTTAAGGGTGGGAACTCATGAGCCCTTTCCTTCCTTATGCTGAATGTTGACTAGCTTGATCTTGTGCAGGTCTTGTGAAGAGAGCCACAGCTGCTGTGAGTTCATGAGTGCAGCGGTTTTATTATGTCTGTAAGACACTGTTTTGCTCTGGTCCCTGACCCATTTTTTTAAATTATTTTTTTATTTTTTTATTTTACAAAAACTTTATTGAGAATTTCATATGTGCATATAAGGTGTTTTGATCAAATCCATGCCCATTCCTTCCCTTCCAGCACCTCCCATATTTCCTCATCACTTTTTTCTTTTTCTTTTTTTAAATATTTCTTTCATTTATTTATTTTTATGGGGCTTTTGGGTACATTC